CTAAAATGTAGAGGGAAACTTTTCAAAACTAACATAGAAACTAAGATCATAAAACTAAGAACATTTAACACACATTGGGTACTCAGTGACTGCCAAATGAATGGGTGATTGGTTGGGCCTGTTACGTCATAACCCTGACTGCATTATTCTCTACTGAATGGTCACTGGCTCTTTAGTCACCCATTAGTAGCTCATTTGACCTTGCATTTTCCATCTGTAGAAAGAGTTCAGCAGAATATTTTAAAAATTTGGTCATATAAGCCATGTAAGTGTATTACATACATACATATTTATATAGCTTTTAATATACAGAATATATATCTCTTCTGGCATTATATATACTATTATGCTAATTTATTTTGTATGTATTAAAATATATAGCAGGTAAAATTACAAAAGAAATATTATTCCCATGATCCAATGGTTTATTTTGGCACACTCTGAAGTAAGCACAATCTAACTTTCAAGACCACTTAAATAGACTATTTTTCAAAATTTTCATCAATTTTGCCCAGCCATTATGGTCTGCTTTTATCTTTCACAATAACATCTTACTTTCATCTCAGAAACTGTAGCACCTCTTCCGACAATGACCTTGATCATATTGGGAAGGTCTGGGATACATACATGCCAGAAATTTAGGAAGGAAAGAATGATGCCTTCAAAAAATACAAGGAGGCCTTACATTTGTACTTGAACTGACAGAATTTATCCTGTAGTGGGCTTATTTCATGAGAAAAAACTGTGAAGTTCATGAGGACCAACCATATTCATCAATAAAATATATATTCATCAATATAAATGGATTATATTAAGTACCTATTTTGTTCAATTTAACTTCTACATATCTCTTCTTTTAAAAACATAGCATTTTGAGTGTGAGCTTCTTAGAATCATGTGGTAGGCATGACTGAAAGTGTGGGCCGCAAGTGAGGCCAAAAGCCGGAAGAGCTCCAGAATCCCATCGAATAAGTAGTAGGTGGCAATGCGGGGTTCGATTTCTGCCGTCAATAACTGACAACATAGCCTTTTTCTCTGGCTTTTGATGTCTCTGCTGATCATCTAAGAGTGTTGATGATCTAAGAGTCATCAACACTCTTAGATGTCTGCCTTCAAGTTTCTGTTTCATATTAGCAGTAAACTAACATTAAAATAATTGGTGCATTTCATAAGAAGCTTTCAGTCTGTGTACCCAAATATCATGTAGCATTAGTGAGCCTCTGAAAGTTCGTACTTTTTTTCCCTTTTAGACATTGATTCTACATCAAGAAATGTAGAATGAGTGCTGACCTTAAGGGTATTTGATTGCAGTGGCAGGGACTAAATTGCTTTCTGCAAACTTTACACTTCCTGAAGCACTCTGTAGTTCTGAAGACTTTGTAATAGGAACTTAGATTCTAGATAATTGAAGATCATTGTGTTTTCACATTGACCAACTCATGGTTAATCACCGACATACCAGAAAAATTCGAAGAGCTACACATAGGCAAATCCCTTAAACCTATACTTTATATGAAACGGGTCTAATAGGCTAAAGGAAAAGTTTTAAAAATCAATAGAAATGTCTAGTTGCATGAACACAATATAAATTGTGACATGCTCTCAGGTCCTTATCAGGAAATAAAAACGTTAGATTATTTAGCTTTAGAATGAGAAAAATGAATAGAACTGAAAGAAGATTTAATAAATCTTCAACTGTATGGGAGACATTATTATACAGACAACATTGTCAAGCTGTTCTTCATTTCCAGCTAGATCAAAATAAGAGATTAACTTCAGGATAAGGGATTTAGATTAACTCTGTGAAAGAACAGCTTGGCACTAGTGGTTTTGATTTGAGAAAAAGTCACCAAGAGAATCATAAAGGGCATTGCAGAAAAAAAAAAATCACCTATCTGAGTGGTTTATTGTTCTGCAAGTGGCCAGAGAGTTCAACAATTAGCCCAATTTAACAAAATTTATCAAACATACTTTTTAAAAGTAATCTACATTTTGATAGAGAAAAAGGGCAAATACAATGCTAATCAACATGCAGGGTGGATTTTGACAATAACATGGGCAAAATGCCTTGCGAATTCATAAGAGAAAGAGAATCTACTCAGTTGAAGAGATCAAGAAACAATCCAAAGCATTAATGGGACGAAGAAATATGGTATTATCTGTTGAAGATATTTTATAGTTTTATCAACTGAAGTAGAGAGAAATGTCCATCTGTTGAAATAATCACTTTGTAAGCTAAATAATGTGATTGAATGTATAAAAGAAAATGAAATTAAAAATGAAAAAATTAAAATCTTAAAAAAGAAACAATCCATATTGAATATATAATTGAAGATTAACCTTGTTAAACATGTGATTTTAGTGTATGTAAAATAGGTGTGGTGCGGTTGTAGATGTGTACATGTGCATAAACATGTGCGTACATACACATTTTTGTGTATTTGAGAACAGGAAGGCAAATTCTGATTAAGAGAAAGATATAAGCAAAAGTAGAGAAACAATTTACATGGGAAAAGGGCAGTTTATTTAACTTAAAAAGCAGAGCAAGCTGAAGCTAGTAGATGATGTTTCCTAAGAGAAGATTCAGAGAGAAGACAGTCAAAAAAGAAAAAAAAAATCAAAAGTAAGATGCTAAAATCTATTTTATCATTCTTTCAACAGATTTTGCTGAGTATCTGCTATACAGCATCACTGAAGCTGCTGGAGACTAAGGAACTTGCCATCTAGAGGCCCCCAATACTGATTTCATAATGATACAAATAAACCTACTAGTATGCTGGAGTAAATGCAGAAGAGATGACTTGATAGGGGAAAGAGGGGGGCTGATAAAGGTAGTTAAAAGAAAGGAATATGGGATAAGACTGAAGAGGTAGGTAGAGAACGATCCTGTTAAGGATTGAGGAAATGAAAAGTATTTAGAGGACTCTGAATATGTGAATGATGTAAACACAACTGGATTTAGACAAAAAAAAAAAAAAATCAGCAGTGATCTAGTGTATGGATGAGAAAAGTACAAGTTGCCTTTGACAGAGTGAGCTAGAAGGCTGCTTCAATATTCCATGGGGGCAGATTGTGGTACTCTGGTCCAGAGTTATGGCTATGGAGAAGAAGAAAAGTGCACCAAAAAGAGATCTAGTTTGAAGACTAAGCAGAGATCAATGAAGGTAGAAATAAGAGGACTTGCTGTAAGAGTTGCAGGAGAGATTAAAAAAATGTTGGCTCCCAGATATCTTCTTGTGTAATTGATTGAATGGTGGCACCACTTACAGAAACATGAAAATCGAAGGAGACACAGATTTCCAAGGAGCAACAATGAGTTTTAGGAAATGTTGAATCTGAGCTGCTTTAGAGAGTTCAAACACAGATGTTCCTCAGTTTATGATGGGGTTAGGTCCTGATAATCCATTGCAAATTAAATATATATTTAGTTGAACATGCACTTAATATACCTAACCTACCAAACATCACAGTTTAGCCAAGGCTACCTTAAATGTTCTCAGAATGCTTATATTAGCCTTTGGTTGGCCAAAATTATCTAACACAAGCCTATTTCATAAGAAAGGGTTGAATATCTTATGTAATTTACCGAATACTGTACTGAAAATGAAAAGTAGAATGATTTGGGGACATAGCTTCTGCTGAATACATATCACTTTTGCAAAATGAAATTGAAAAAAAATATTAAGTAGAATCATTGTAAGTTAGGGACGGTCTGTAGGTAGGTTAATAGGCAGCTGAATGTATGAGATTAAACTTTCAGTGGTCTCAGATTAAGATATAGACTTGCACATCTCCTAAATGAAAATATAATTAAATTATGGGCATAAATGTGGTCACCCAGGGAAAGGGTATTATATAAAATGAGAAGAAAGGAGAGTCTAGGGTGATGCCTTGAGTAACTCTAACAACTAATGAATGGGGTTAGAAGATAATAATATGGAAATTATCTTCAGGGAATTAGTGCAGGTAAAAAGAGTAAAGTGTCACAGATGCTAAGAAAAGAATGTTCAAAATTAAGAAGAGAATTGGTTCGCTGTCAAATGTGGCTCCAAGGCCAAGTAGGTGGCGAATAGAAGGTTTACTAGATAAGCATGAGGCAGGAGTCAAAGCTTCTTTAGGAAAGCTTTCTTCCATCTGCTCAGGTGCTCTTACACGTCCCCTCATCTGGGTTCCCATGAAGAGTCCTTATTCCTGTTACAGCACCTACTGTTTGAAGATGCAGTCATCTCCTCTCAGGACAAGAGCTCAGTCCTCCCTCATGCCACAGAGCCTTGCACAGCTCAGATGAAGACATTCATTAGTCCTCCTCATCCTCAAAATCATTGTGGTACTTGTCACTCCGTGTCCTCTCTAGGTTTTTCTGTCTCATGATTCTTTATCTTTTACTCATACATTCAACAAATATCTATTTAACATTGCATACTTTTGAAGAACTACTCAATATTTTGAGAAACAAATTGTGCAAAATATCCCCCACCTTCTCTGAGGACGTAGATGATTGCATGTGTGCCCTTGATCTGGGGCTGACTTGGGGAGGGGGGAATGGATGGTTGTACAGAACCCTGTATGGGGTTCTGTCTCTGATGTATCTCTATCTCTCTATCTCTCTGTCTCCCTCATTCATGGAATAAATGAATGAATAAAACAAGAAAAAGAGAGATGTTTTGGGGTGATGTCAGCATTTAGAAAGAGTTTTTCAGAGCTCTCTGCTCAGAACTCTAAGGCATAGTTATTCAACTGTTCTTAACTGGCCTGCATTTTTCTTGTTTATTACTGCACACCATTACTTTGTGTGTCCTTACATATAAGACGGCTTGTCTAACTGACATCATTGAGAGCTATCAATCAGGAACCAGAAACTGTGTCATTAACTTTTGAAAAAGCAAAGAATTTGCCATCCCAAAGTCTGAATGAAATTTACTCTTGGAAATGAGAATTATAATGAGCATTTAAGTCAGAAGAGCTAATGCTCTACATTTAAACTTTGGAAATAGAATTACCTCTTTCTCCTTCACTTTCAAATGACAATCTCCTTCTTCGTAGTTTACAGTTGTCTCCTTCAGAATCATTCATGGATTGTGACCGGAGTAACATATCAGCCTTTGTTAATGGAATATGGAGATAAAATGGAAGATTATACAGTTTGAATATAATGCGCTATCAATAAACTCTTTACTATTCCATATCATTTCAACCACATTGAGACTTTATTAGATTTTAGGCAAATAACTATAATACTTTGCTTAATGGTTTTCTCCAAATTATGCATGTATGCCCTTGTTCTGGGGCTGTCTGAGGTGGGTGGATGGTTGTGTCAAGACCTTGTAAGGGGCTCTGTCTCTGATGTCTCTCTATATCTCCATCTCTCTCTCTCTCTCTTTCATGGAATAAATGAATAAATAAAACAAGAAAAAGAGAGATGTTTTGGGATGATGTGAGCATTTAGAAAGACAATATCTCTTCAAGTGAAATTTGTTAAAATAATAATAGTAAGTTTTAAAACTGCAGAATTTGTGTTATTGCAGAGAAAGAAATGGATAAACTAATTTTAATTAGCTACACTATTTCAATTACATGGTAATGATCACAAAGTTAAGTTTCGCAGCAATAAATATAAGCTTCAATCAATAAACACAAGATTTTAAACCCTTTGTTATTTTGTTAGGAGCGTTCCATCTACTTCTTTGGTTCATTCTGTGTAATGTCAGCAATCTTGTAAATAAAAAGTAGAAGCTCCTATTTTATTGCAATTCATTTATTTTCTAAAAATTTTCAGAGACTGTTGCACTTGCCAGAGAAAGGAAGAGAGAGAGAGAGAGAGCGAGCAACAAGAAAGCACTCCGCTCCCTCATTTGGATATGGTAATGCTACAATCCTTTCTCCACTTCTCCTTCCTGTTGGAATTTTTGGGCACTCATGCCCATGTACCAGGTGTGTTTTTCAAGCCACCGGGTCCAGGACTTGAACCCTATGGTAATCCATGCGGTATCTAGCCATCTTCACCTCCAGGCCACAGGTTGGCCTTCCTGTTTTATTTGTTTGGATGCTGCCTAATTTTTATGTAAATAACTTACCTGAGCCCAGTATTTGTTGTTTTTCAAGGTAAAATCAAAACGAGGACAGTGACATTAAACTGGGATTCTGATGAAGTACTAAATTAAAACCAGTATTAAAAAAAAATGCATGTTCTTAACAACATGAGCTTTTAATCACCTAGATTTTTAAAAAATGTTTTGAAAATAAGCAGTTTTCTAAACTGGTGCATTAGCATGTTAAAGGCAGCCTTGTTACTTTAAACGTTTCTCTCTTTAAGTCTCTAAGTGCCTGGGGATGACTTTAACTCTAGGGAGAGTTAAATTTACCAGATTTTACCTCACTACTGACTTGAGAATCTTTTTTTCTAGAATATATTAGTTAGCATTTATATCCATTGGCAAATAAAGAATGCCCAATATATGAGTTCCAATAAAAAAAATTTAGAAGTGGAATAAGGTTCTGGGTTTTGAAGGAAAAGAGACGAAAAAACAACATAGTATTAAACTGTGGGCTACAACATAAGTTCTATACCCACATGGTCCAAAGGGACACATTTTCACAGTGAGAGAGAATGAGGGACATAGGGCCTATACTTTCCAAATTCACTGTCGGTTAACTTATATATAGAAATGTTTAAAATATTATTTCTATTAAATCATACATTATTCATTCTGAAACATTACTTTTGCTTCTGCTGTAAAGCCAAAGTAATATATACTTATGGATTTGAAAATTATGTTAAATGTGAACCTACCCTTAAATGAGATTGACTGAAGCTATTTTAAAAATTACTGTTGAGAAGATATTGATAACCAATTTATGGTGAAGATAACAGCTGAGTGAATATTTTCATTTTTGTATAAGACAATACCCCTTAAGGAATTTTCAATAGTTTTAACTACCTATTTTGTACAAATAATTGACACAAAATAAACCAAGCCTATTTTAAATGAATATGTCACTTAATGGTTCCTAAGAGGTCAATTGACCAACTTAAAATTATTTAACATATTTGAAAGTAATGAGACTTTTTTCTTCTTTATAGTTTAGAAATTTCAATATTAAACTAGGTTTTCCTTCCAAATATTTAGAACCAGCAAAGTCCTTCTGTAAGTGTAGGTGAGTATCTGTAATCTGAAAATCTAAAATCTGAAATGTTCTATAATCAGAAACTTTATGAGAGTCAATATGATGCCACAATTGGAAAATTATACATTTAGCTTCATGTGACAGGTAGCAGTGATAAAAGACACAATATAAATATATTGTACAAAATTTCTCTCAGGCTATGTGTATAAGGTATATATGAAACATAAACAAATTTTGTGTTTACACTTGGGTCCCATCCCCAACATATCTCACATCAACTCAAACGTTCTAAAACTCAAAAAAAAAAAAATCCTAAATTTGAAACACATTTTCCCCCACACATATCAGATAAGAGATACCAACTTTATTTATATAATTCAAAAATAATATAAAATTTTAGACATACAAAAATAAGCAAACAGTTAACGTATACCTTTGCACTCTCGTGCCTTAGGTTGAAAGTCAGTTCCAGGTTTGTTAGAAAATGATCAGAAAACTCAGGATACATATCCAAAACCTCTAACAAATCTTCTCGCTGAATCTTATGTAAGTCACAGTATGTGAGAGCTCTTACATCTGCATTAGACTTTCCAGGTTTGGCATAAAGATGAACCATTTCTCCAAATATATCATTTTTTCCTAAAAAGAGAGGAAAGGGAGGAGAAGAAAAAATAACTTTCAAATGATATGTTTTTCTTCTGAAACTACAAGGAGACCTCAGATCAACTACCCAGTTCCTGAACAAAAGATTTCAAATGTTAAGACTCCACAACCAACAGATAGTTGGGCAACAAAGTCTCAGCACTGTGGTGACTGTCAGCTCATGCTTATTGAGTGTAATTTTGCCTCTGAAGATCACCGGCCCTGACTATAATGCCTTTAATTCCCTATTTTGGTTATTTGGCTAAGTGTGGAAAATGTACGGTCTGGTATGCCCTGCAATGCTAGTAGTCTTGCCAGATATGAGAAATGCTACAATGAGTCAGATTAATGGCCTTTCTGTCTCAGGAGAGTCTCTGGAGCTGACAGAGTGATTGTTGTGGTTAGAGGACTTGGGGAAGGAATAATTTGAACATGCCTTGTTTCCTTTAATAACCACTTCTGGATTTGTCCTTAATTATTACATCTGCCTAGCCACACACCACCTGCCTTCCATGGTCTTGTTCATGTTGGGGATGGGAATGACAGCAACAGCAAATATTTATTGAAAGCTAAGGAGTTACTAGGCACTGTGTCAAATAGGTATATTATCTCATTTTATTCCCAAAATAATTTTATGAAGAAATTAATAATTATTTTACAGATTTTATGAACACATAAAGAGGATTAAAGAGGTAAACTGATTAGCTCAAGGTCACTTTCTGAGCTGGGTGAAGGGGAGAGAGAGAGAGAGAGGGAAGGCAGGATTGAAATCTCCAACATTTTGGTTCCAGAGTCCAGGTCCATATGTATCTGAATATGGGAAGCCAATGACATGTATAGTATTCTCAACTGGATTGGTCTGAGAAGTATTTCATGATGGGCAAAGTATTTTTATAAGCAAAATGAGAAATAGCGATTAACTGTTTTAAAAAATAATTAGAATAATAAAAATAATGATTGGGGAAAACATAGAAAAGATATTGAATGTTGAAATGGGGAGATTAATGTCTCTGTATTGATTGACATGTATGACATTCCCTTTTGAAAAAACAATGTAATACACTGTAAAGTTATATGTAATCCAATGTAATATAAAGAAGATTATGATGATAATAAAAAATAAAAATAAAAAAAGAAAAGTTAGTGGAAAATGAATATTATTAAAAAACTCTGCCTCATTTTCATAAGTTTTTGAGCCATAATGAATTCATGCTTTAATTCCATTTTACACAATATTAAGTTATCAAAATATTGATAACTTATAAAATATTAAAAATTTTGATAACTTCCTTCCTACTGAGGAAATTATCTAAGCCTTTTAATCAATAAAATTCTAACAAAAATTGCTTATAATATTATTTTTTTAAAGAATTATTTTATTGAACTGTAATCATCATCATTATTATTATTTGAAAATTTGATGAGAGAGAAAGAGAGAGAGAGAGAAAGTGAGAAAGCAAGCTACCAGATCCAGGACTTGAACCCAGGTCATCAATGTGGGAGTCCAGCAACCTTAACTATCATGCCACCTGCTAGCCCTTTAAATGAGAATTTAATGGAAAGTAATCAAATACTTTAACTGTTTAAGAAAAGTTGACTTCAGAAAGAATAAATTAACCATAGTTTAAATATTTGCCAGCCTTTCCATAATTGAGTGAATAATCAAAATGTATGAGGATTTTAGGTGCTGATTTACATGAAAATGGGACAGAAAAGAAGAATCTTTTGAAATTCTTCATGATTTTGATGGTTCAGCACATGTATTTTTCAACAACAAAAAAAGAACAGGTACTACAGAGGTGAACTATGACACTCTGACACTGACACATATGGGAATCTTCTAGGTTTATGTCCAGAGACCACTATAAGTCATGCCCATGATCCAGGGCTGGCTGAAGTTGGGAGTGGATCATAGCATCAAGACCTCTCTTTCTTACTTGCTCATGGAAGAATATAGTTTTTCTTAAATGAGGTTTTGAACTAAATTATGTATGGGCTTTGTTTTTTATTTAGCTTATATAACTGTAAATGAGGAAGGAGTAAGCCAGTCCATGTGTACAGCATAGCAACACGCTAAAATTATTATTCGATGAGGCAAGAAGGCTTGTTACCTTCCTGTAGAAACTACATGTAGCTGATTTGAAGATCAGGACTTGTTCATGTTGGGGATGGGAATGACAGCAACAGCAAATATTTATTGAAAGCTAAGGAGTTACTAGGCACTGTGTCAAATAGGTATATTATCTCATTTTATTCCCAAAATAATTTTATGAAGAAATTAATAATTATTTTACAGATTTTATGAACACATAAAGAGGATTAAAGAGGTAAACTGATTAGCTCAAGGTCACTTTCTGAGCTGGGTGAAGGGGAGAGAGAGAGAGAGAGGGAAGGCAGGATTGAAATCTCCAACATTTTGGTTCCAGAGTCCAGGTCCATATGTATCTGAATATGGGAAGCCAATGACATGTATAGTATTCTCAACTGGATTGGTCTGAGAAGTATTTCATGATGGGCAAAGTATTTTTATAAGCAAAATGAGAAATAGCGATTAACTGTTTTAAAAAATAATTAGAATAATAAAAATAATGATTGGGGAAAACATAGAAAAGATATTGAATGTTGAAATGGGGAGATTAATGTCTCTGTATTGATTGACATGTATGACATTCCCTTTTGAAAAAACAATGTAATACACTGTAAAGTTATATGTAATCCAATGTAATATAAAGAAGATTATGATGATAATAAAAAATAAAAATAAAAAAAGAAAAGTTAGTGGAAAATGAATATTATTAAAAAACTCTGCCTCATTTTCATAAGTTTTTGAGCCATAATGAATTCATGCTTTAATTCCATTTTACACAATATTAAGTTATCAAAATATTGATAACTTATAAAATATTAAAAATTTTGATAACTTCCTTCCTACTGAGGAAATTATCTAAGCCTTTTAATCAATAAAATTCTAACAAAAATTGCCTATAATATTATTTTTTTAAAGAATTATTTTATTGAACTGTAATCATCATCATTATTATTATTTGAAAATTTGATGAGAGAGAAAGAGAGAGAGAGAGAAAGTGAGAAAGCAAGCTACCAGATCCAGGACTTGAACCCAGGTCATCAATGTGGGAGTCCAGCAACCTTAACTATCATGCCACCTGCTAGCCCTTTAAATGAGAATTTAATGGAAAGTAATCAAATACTTTAACTGTTTAAGAAAAGTTGACTTCAGAAAGAATAAATTAACCATAGTTTAAATATTTGCCAGCCTTTCCATAATTGAGTGAATAATCAAAATGTATGAGGATTTTAGGTGCTGATTTACATGAAAATGGGACAGAAAAGAAGAATCTTTTGAAATTCTTCATGATTTTGATGGTTCAGCACATGTATTTTTCAACAACAAAAAAAGAACAGGTACTACAGAGGTGAACTATGACACTCTGACACTGACACATATGGGAATCTTCTAGGTTTATGTCCAGAGACCACTATAAGTCATGCCCATGATCCAGGGCTGGCTGAAGTTGGGAGTGGATCATAGCATCAAGACCTCTCTTTCTTACTTGCTCATGGAAGAATATAGTTTTTCTTAAATGAGGTTTTGAACTAAATTATGTATGGGCTTTGTTTTTTATTTAGCTTATATAACTGTAAATGAGGAAGGAGTAAGCCAGTCCATGTGTACAGCATAGCAACACGCTAAAATTATTATTCGATGAGGCAAGAAGGCTTGTTACCTTCCTGTAGAAACTACATGTAGCTGATTTGAAGATCAGGAATTCAATGAAGCATGCTTTTTCCCTGGCAACCAGGGCAACTAGAACAAATCATCAAGGATAAATTTAGTGAAAACCTGACTGGATTGTGGGGCCTTGAATAATTTAGAATGTATTTTATTCTTTTTTTTTTTTATTGGAAATTAAGCTGTACATCTTGTCATTTTGAGAACATTTTAAAAATTTAGGCATAGTAAAATTATCAAACTGTGTAAGGAATCACTCAAACATGCTACTCCATAGTGATTCTACCTAACAGCAAAGAAAAAAGACAATATCTTTGTGCTTTCAGACCTAATAGTCATGGGTGACCATCAAGTTAAATGAAAGAAATAATGGTATTAAATGTCTGTTATTTAAATGGAGGTAGATTTAATCCACAGGGGGAAAAATAGTGCAAATTTCCATAGACATGGTGGTGGATGTTATCATGGGGGGTAGAGTCTTAATATTGGCTAGATAGGAGAAGAGAACTGACCTTGATTTTCTCCATTTCCTTGTTCTTCCCCAAAGTCCTAATAGTTCAATAAAATCTTACAAGTTCACATGGCCTAAATGTATTTTTAGACACAGATTAAACACAGACTTCCTTTTGTACTTTAATAAGTTTAATTTGTTACTAATTTTAATCTCACCACCTCTATCCCTGGGCATTCTGTTCATAGCTGCATACACCCTAGACAAGGTCTTATGTAATTGGTGGGACACAGAAGGTAAAAGTGCACAGCGAATAAGGGAAATTCATCAAAACTTAGACCCAGTTTATGACAGGGTATGGACACATGCAAGGGAGTACCTATAGTACCTATATTTTACTTTAAGGTCCTACAGGATCAAGCGCAATGCCAAAAATCTGACATGAAAAGGAAAATATTGACTCTTCATATATTTGGATTCGAATGTCTAAATACCTGCCATGAACTGATGGGAATCATGGAATCATTGTTGACATAAGAGACAAAGTAAGACTGTCAAGAAAATATATTTTCTTCAAGGTTAATTTGATCTGATCTGAATTTTAAATAAAGCTTTCAAATTATCTACCAATCTTAAAGATTTTTTTAAAAAAATTAATAGATTAGCCATTTTTTTTTCTGTCATTTTAAACCTTGTATCCCACAGGCTGATAACTGAATTTTTCACCATCCCACCCTGTTCTAAAACACTCACCCAGAATAGCCACCACAATGTCGTCCTTGAGGATTTCAATGGAGCCTCTGGATAAGAAATAAAGTGCAGTGAGGACATCCCCACAGTGAACCAGGGTATCTCCTGGAGGTGCATGGGTGGTCTTGAACTTCATTGCCAAAGCTCTAAGGCAACCTTTACTTGCTCCCCGAAAGGCTTTGCAGTTTTGCAGCAAAGTCTGGTTGAGATGTAGACAAATGTCAGCTTGTAAACATTCTGGGAAACCCTTTAGGACCTGAAGGGAAAAAAAAAGAAAGAGTTCATACTACCAGAGCACTGGGGTATCTCAACCTGAAATAAAGTTTATTTCTTTTTCACAGAACTGCAGGTGTAGTAATTGTCACACAGGCGTTCTTACAAAGCTTCTCCCTCGCCTCCTTCATGAATACTTGGTTTGCTAAACATGTCAGATTCTGAATTCAAATACTTGTTCTCTGAATTAACTACAGGCATTCAGACTCAACACAAAGGCTGTCTCATTAAAATGGAATTCCTACAACTTTTCACACTGCTTCTCTTTCCTGCATTATGTTATGCAGCATCTTACTGTGCACAGATAAAATGCAATGTAACAATTAATACGACATAACTAAGAAAACGTGGTACAACTAGAAAGAATCAACCGTTTTAGGAACCACAAGTCAATTTTGGTTGCCATCTTTGGTATACATTTTAATTATAATTAGTAAAAATGTTGATCCTGAAGTAGCCACGGCATTTGTAAATGATATATACTAGAGAACACTCTTAGTTCACAGTTCTTGGGATATTTATTTCATACATACATTATTAATACTAAATATTTTGATGAACACTAAAAATAGAGTAAGGAAAGGAGAACAGCAAACATACTTTAGAAGTGCGTTGCAATTTTCAAAAATGGAAACTGCCAGAATTTACAGTGCATACATAAGCTTTTAAAGTGCTACTGTTTTGACAACCTATTCAGGGGCTAATTTAAAACTTGTAGAACAGATTAAATAATAGCTTGTGACAACTGCTATTCAATTTGAGCTGAATAAAATTCTGTGTTATTTTTATAAATCCCCAGTACACAATGGGTCAAAGACACTCAAATCTTGCCTCTCTGTGACTTGTTTTGGGTGTCATATATAAATTTTAAGCTTCATGTTGGATTTCCTCTGCCAATGTGAATTGGCTCATTTAACTGTGCTTTGGGTTGTGGGAGGGGGCATAACACAGCGCAATTTAAAGTGCAATAACGCAGTCTGGGGATTGTCTGTCTTTTTAGATCAATCTTGGTATGCTGTCCAATATAGCTAAAAATAATCACGAGTTGTTTGTAAGACAATTAAAATGTACCTGCCCCTAGAGGAACTTGAAATTAAATCACAATTGAGTGAACATACAATTATTACTATTTTAAATCTTAAATAGACATAGGGATTTGACTTCTGTAAGACCATCATGTGATGTAAGTGCTCAGACTGACTGATGTTATATCAAATATTTAGTTGTTATAAAAGTCATGACATATCTTTGCATTAAAAAAAAACCAGAAAAATGTGTTCATAACTTCAGACAACCCAATATGAAAGCATCAGTAAAGGACCTGAAGCAAAAAGCCCTTAGTTTCTACTGTGGTTTTCTTCATTTTATAGAGTCACTCACTAAAGTGGGTGGAGGTGTTTGAGAAGAAAATCCATGAAGTTCAGTTCTGGTCCTGAATTTGCCACAGGTTGATTCTTGTGCAAGGCACTTTACCTGTCTGTGCGTCTCTATCATAAAACAAAGTCTTTACAGTGTTCAAAATAGCCATAAATTACCAACTTAAAAGGTGTGCTTTTAAGACATTGCTCGCCCAGCTCTGTACTGCTATAAGAACTCAGACTTTCATCCTAAAGATTCTCTAATACCTGACTCAGGTTCAAATGACGTGAGTTGCTCTGATATGAGTTCCTGAGTCCTCATCTGCCTTGTCTTTACTGAAACTTTCACAATTGTCTAAATTACTATACTCCCGTGGTACTTCCTGTGTGGCCTGCATGTATCAACTCAGCTCTTTTCATGGAATAAACCTCTGGGTCACTGATGCCTCCTACCTGATCTAAAACATCACATTGGATTCTTTCCAGATGCTTGACTGGAGTTGATCTATGTTTGGAGACTGTTTGTCGAAATGGGAGTCATTTTACTTAGGGGCTGTTTAGCAGAAAAATACCCCAGTTAACTGACCTTTACATATGACTTAATCTTCCTGAAGCCTGTTTGGTATTGGCATAATTCTCAAGTGATCTCATACTAAAGACACAGATGTATAGGTTGTTACGCCAAGTAATAAATGAGACATGTCCATCTTTCTCTTAAGAAATAATGCCCATAATAAGACGCAAAGTTATCCTCTATTTCCCATAAATACAGATGGTATTACTACCATTATAGTAGTTAGAGTGAGAATACTGAGCTTGTAGCTGATATTTTTTCACATTATCCCTGAAGTCTTCTTTACTACAGACTGGTTATGGGAGAGAAAGTTTCATGTGCACGTGTGTATATCACATGTGTATATTCATGCTTTGAGTTGGAACACAGTGATGAGATAGATGGGGCTTCCCATTTCTCTGAGTTGGCGTTTGAGCTGTGGAATTAGGAAGGCATGAGCTAAAGTCCATCACTCCATCACTTATTCATTTTGATTTTGGTCAGCTTATTCAACCTCTTTGAGATTAAGTTCCTTCTTTTGTAAAAATTAAATTAAAAATGCTTGCTTCATAGAGTTATGTTCATGATTAAATGATGATGTATGCAAACCACCCACAAATAGTAGGTGTTCAATAGATAATTTGTTTGACTTTTTCTGTTTTTTCTTGGTAACATATTTATTATTCCTGAAGAACTGGTATGATCTTTTTAGCTAGAAATTAAGAGACACAAAACTTATTTTGTTTTCTCTTTTTTCTGCTTGATAAGATATTTTCCACTAAGCTTTACATTTTTGACTCATGAGAGTTTAAATGTTGTATGTTCTACTACATTATTGATTTAAGTTTTTTTTTTTCCTTGCAACTCTCTTCAATCCTTGTTTCCTATTTCTGGCTTATTAATTGTTCCGGCTTACTTTCACTTAGGTTTTCACTGTGAGTCTCCTGAAGTCCTTTTAAAAGTAGAAATTTTGCAAATATCTTATTGAATTTCTAGTTAGTCTTGGACTTCAGCTCATACTTTTCTAATTTCATAGCATAAAACATTAAGGGCACTTGAAAAAGATTTTCCTTGTTAAATGTCTTTGCACCCCAATGGTCATCCTATAACAAGTACTGTAACACCTATTAGAGAGGATTACGTCAAGTTGGAGATCACATAGAGACTTTGTTTTCACAGGAGACAAATACATAGATCTTGGAGTGAATTTGCCTAGTTTAAAGATTTTTTTTTTTTTTTTTGGAGAGGTTTTTGCTATAGGGTGCGTGCGCTCGCCAGACAGACAGAGACAGAGAGACAGAAAGTGAGAAATCATCCCCCCGGGGGTATGGCCACGCCGCAATCCCTTCTCCTCCCCTCTTGGGATCTTGGGCACACATGCACATGTGCCCAGTGTGAGTTTAAGCCGCTGGGTCCGGGACTCGAACCGTCGTCAACCACATGGGAGTCCAGCGACATAGCCATTACATTAACTGCTGGTCCCTAGTTTAAAGAATTTTTGAGTGGTGTTAGCCCTTAGCTGACTTTCTTAAGTTAATTGCATGATTCATTCAAGTAAACTCAATAAAAGTTAAGATTCTATTGTTGAATCTCTTAGTCCCCTGATGTCCCAACTATCAGGCTCTTAAGAGTATGGGATATGGCTATGCTTAAGTTAAGTGACTAATGACACAATTAAAAGGGAGGAAACTGAAGAAGAATAGACATAAATACATGGGTGGGAAAGTAGAAAATGAGAACTAGGGAAAGTAGATCTCTGTCTGGGACATTCCTCTTCATCGGTTCCAGCCACATTGACTTCTTTGCTTCCTATTCACTGTACTTTTTTTCTTTTTCTTTTTCTTTAGAGAGAGGGTTTTTGCTACAGGGTGCCTGTGTTGCCAGAGAGACAGAAATTGATAAATCACTACCCAGGGAGATGGCCATGCCACAGTTCCTTCTCCTTCATTCTCCTCTCAGGATTTTGGGCATGCACATATGTGCACTGAGATGAGTTTTAAGCCACTGGGTCCAGGACTCGAACTGTGGTAAATTATGTGGGAGTTAAATGACATAATCATTATGCCATCTGCTGGTCCCCACTGTACCATAAGTAAAAACAATGGCTGCCCTCTAGCCTCCCAGAATTAGAAACTCCTCATTTACCACTCAGATACTGGCCTTTTATCAGGCCTAGCATATCTGACTGTAAAGAGTTGCTATGTCAAGAGACAATTATAAACCAGAACACAAGCATTTCTACTACACTCTATCTGATCTTGTCTGTCAAACTCTGAAGCTTCAAAATACATACCACTTTCTTCTGCACATCTGAAGCCATTGTTTTCTGAACCAGTCTAATTTAAAGACCAGGATACATTACCCATAATCAGTTTCATGGCCTGCAGCTTAGAAAAGCTGTTCTTACCCTTTTAGTAAACATATTAAGTATCTACTATATGACAACCACTAGGTTAAGGAGCATAACAATGAATAAAATATGTTCTGAAGATATACCTGATTCTCGATCATTTCTCTAAATGTCTAGATTTAAAAAAAAAAAAAAGAAAAGAAAGCAAAAAAAAAAATAAATAAGCAAACTTTTTTTTTACAGAGTTAACCAGAATTTCCCATACTCTTGTTTTCCATGCCAAATTTAGACATTAATAACGTAAATTTACAATACCACTGTTGTTCAAATGAACTTACAAGGAATGAATTTAAGGTCAGTGAAAAGCTCTGATTCTGCTTTTTGAATACTGGCTGAGCTGGCACAGAGACAAATTGCTTGCTGCTTTTAGATGGGGTGTCTTGCTATGCTACATACTCCTCCTGTCTCAGCCTCCTGAGTAGCTGGGACTACAGGTGCGTACAACCTTGCTGAGGTTTTAAGATGAGTTTAGAATCTAGCCCCGGCTTCTCATTTGGCCTTTGTCTGCCAAGTAGCAATGGTAAACCAGCATGTGCTATCATGGTTGGGCCATGATTTTTAAAACTTTCAGAAAAAATTTCCAAGGTTGCTAAAAATCCCACATCTTTATCATGATATAAGGTCGCTTGAATTTTTAATAAACGTAAGATTTATTTCTCTTC